TATAGAATGAAAAGAAAATCCCCATCGCGTGTCTTAGTTATTGTAACCATATCCACTCCATCTTCATCGCACGACGAGTGGTTTTCCCCCCCAAATAATGTTGTCGATGCTCTTCGCTTGAGGCTCACAATTAATGGCATACGTGCGAAAAGTTTCTATAAATTATTATAGTCGGTCCATATTTATCTGATAGCCGCACACCTTCACACAGATACTTTTCGCCAGATGCAGCCACAAAACATCCATTAATCACGCTTAGGTTGTATTCGCTCGATTTCTATTTAACGCTTACAAATTGGAATAGTCACGAAGTGCAGAAAAACATGGAGTGTAAGCATGAATAAAATGTTTGTTTCTTTTCAACGCACTTATATTAGGGAACATATTTAGTTGTATTTTCTTGAATAAGGGGTTACAAAATATCAATCCCCATTTTATTGTCAGTGTACACTATTTTCCCTATTCTTTGCTACCTCGCTGCCAAGTGCCTCATTTTCCATGTTAATTGCGAATTATGCCATTTGGCCCATCCACTTTTCACTTGACGCCCAAGTCTTGCGGAATGCGAATATGTGGCAAGTAGAACTCGCACAGAATCCCTATACTCTTACCAGCCCCCTTTTGATGCATAAGAACGGTGAGGAAGTGGAATGTTAATTTAAATTTGTATTTGTCAATGCAATCACCCATAATGAATTATTGCTTCGGCTTAATTTTACCTCACTCAATTGCTTTTTAAGCTCTGTCAATAGCTAAGCTTGTGTTTGCAATGAAGTTATTGTATTAGTTTAATTTTAGTACAAGCAAATAATGCGCTTATAGTTTTATATGTATTTGTATTTTAATGATAAAGATTATTTAATATCTAAATTAGAGCCGCGAAAAGCTCTATGAGTATAGCCCCGGGCTTCAAAATTCAATTGGAAATCAATGATTAAATGTTTACCCACGCAATTATGAATTGATATTTTCTCGACATCAAAGTCCTTTGAAATTCGTGGAATGGGGGAATACTCATTTTATGTATATTTACATTGATTCAGAACAGCACTTTTGCGCGAAGTCAGTTCAGTACGCCAGTTGCGAAAGCGTTTAATTTATTCAATAGGAATTTGTAAATTGTAAAAGTTGCAGGCGAGCAACAAGCGGCAGCATCCAGCAATTAGTAAATCATGAGAAAATTATATACTTTGTGAATGCATCGCAGCTCCAAGGAGGTTGAAGCCAGGTTCCAGGCGACGGAACCCAGTTGGCAGACGAAAATTTTAATGCAAACTGTAAATTATTATATACGCGCTTACTTTTCGCCCGATTGCAGCTGCTGCAGTTCCTTTGCCAGCCGTAGACATCCTGCCCAGAAACCCCAGAAGCCCCAGAAGCCCCAGAAAACCCACCCATTCACCCACAGCCCCATTTAACTGGCGCTCAAAAGGCAGTTTTAGTCCTTTCTGGGTTGGCTGCCACACAATACAAAACTATAAATATGCACAGTCACGGTGCGAGTCACAATCGCAGTCACTGTTGCAATTACAGTCGCCGAACACAGTCACTGCATTTCGAATAGCAGATGAATAATTAAGCGGGAGCATAAATGGCTAATGTGATTATGGAAAGTGTGCAAGGGTTTTTTATATTGAATGAAAAATGAAATTTTAAATGTAATTTAATTTTAAAGCACCATGTTCCCGTGTTTCCTTTCCCTTTTCCAGGAATTTCACATGATTTTTATTAATTGATTTAGGCAACCGATTCCCCTTGTATTCACAATGAAATGATTTTCGGCACTGTCACTGCTCATTCACAAGTCGCACTTTGCAATGAAATATTATTTAGTTTTCGAGTTTTTTTATTTCAGCCTCTCCTTTGGCTGCTTGTCTCTGGCAGAGCCAGCAAAATGCAAAATTTATTGCACAAAACTGCAAAACACACGCCGAGTGGGTGAAAGTGGGCGGCGATGGGGTTGAGTGGTTGGCGGGGGCGTGGAAAATGTGTTAAGTCTATTGAGTGTATTAAAGCAAATAACTGCGTCGACGAATAAAATACATACGAGACGACGGCAGCGAGGACTCCAAGAAGCCAACGGCACTCGGATCGAGCTGGGCGGTACTGCGGAGTTATGGGGTTGAAGGCGTGGCAGAGATACTTTATACACACACACACACACACACACACGCACGCTTGCAACAGGACTCACTGACAGCAGCAGCGACGCAGACATATGCAAATATGAATATAAATGAACAGCGCGATGAAGTCTGAGATCCAATGACTTAGCAGGGGATATATGTACACATGCTGCGAAACTTGGAAACTAGACTTTGCAAATTGGTTGAAAAGAAATACTTTATATCATAAATTACACGTACCAATATATCACGCAAGCCATTTCTACATGTAAATAGTACATGCAATGTTGGCTTTAACTTCTAATAGAAAATAGTAACTATGCTGCACAATGGTATTGCTTAATGGCAAGTGATGATATATATTCTACGGAGTTCACTTCTTTTTTTTCTGTGCATCAAAGTTGAAGGCTGTAAAGGGGCGTGTTTAGCTAGGGTTTTGTCAGAGAAGTTAAACTTGCAGCCTAGATGAAATCGACACAAGACATAAGGTTCTAAGCCTATGGGGCTCGATTGCAATGCAGTCGAAATTCGCAACCAATCAATTATGAAAATTTAACAGTTGCAAAAATGACTCGGCTTAAATTCACCAGCTATGCCATAAGTTATGGCAATTTTAATTGGAGCTGAACGAAGAGGCGTGCTTTAAACGCTTCATTAGATGGCAATCCATTTAATATTCGCATTTAAATTAATTTTAATGTTTATTCCGTTTAATTGATGCGACAAATAGTTGTACGCAGCGCAAACAGACTGCAACTAAAACAGAAACAGAAACAGAAACAGAAGCAGAAACGGAAACAGCAACAGAAACAGAAGCAGAACGGAAATAAGCAGCTTTTGACTAACGGCAAAATGGAGGCCATAGGCATGCATGTGTATGACTGTGTGTGTGTGTGTGCGTGTGTGTGTGCTTGTGTGCCTGTGTGCCTGTGTGGTAAAAAAGCAAGGCAGCGCAAACAGAGGTGGGGGGAGGGAGAAGGCTAGTGCGGGGTGAGATGGCAATGGAGAAGTGGAGTAACATCTGGCGTTGCCCTGTGCGATTACAAAAACATCAACACTTAATATGTTTATTAAATTTGTTGCTACATCATTAGGCACTAGCAGCCATGTAATGTGAGGCAAACACTTCACATGTGCCCATGTCTCCTCGCCTCTCACTCTGTGCACTTGTGTTTGTGTGTGTAGTGTGATTCTGTACTCCTCCAGTGTGTGTGTGTGTGTGTGTGTGTGTGTGCTCAGACTGTGTTTGTGTTGCTGTTACAACTGAACTAAATACCCTATGACCCATAAGCTCGACTTGAAAAGCTGGGTATATATGCCGAATATGCGTGCAACTTTTGAAATCACATTTTGGCTATTTAAAAGAGCTGTAAATTATGAGCAAAATGCGCTTAAGTACGGAAAAAAGTTAAAAAGCCTCCTATATCGCTTGTGCCATTCACGCTTAAGAATTCCAATTAAACTGCAGCTCACACTATTAGTTAATTAAGCGTCAATGAGTGGAATCGTGATATCTAAGTGAATGCCAATTAAATTTACTTGACTGACTTACGCTAATGAATTTGGTGTTTGTTTGGTATAATTTAGCCCGTTTACCAATCAGTTGCGGTTTTTGGGACACAGCCTTCTATTTGCTGGCGAAAACCAAAGTTTAGCTGATTGACTTTGAATTGAAGCATTCCCGCCAAGGGATTGCCAAAGGAATCGATAAGGTGGTAGTATCAGCACCTATGCTATAATACCTATGCAGCTATGAAGTATTTTCATATTTGGTTTGAAATGAATGTAATTTGATTGTCTAATTGTAATCACTATAGCTTGATAGTCTGTGTGCTTTATTTCCAATTTGAAGGGCATCTGAGGTTCGTAGTTCCGCAACACCGAGTTCTCGTTAGCCGTGCCAATGCCCTGCACACACACACACACACACACACACACACAGATACTCACCCACACAGAGGCTTGTGGCGATGTGTTTGTGCGGTGCTCTGGGCTACTTTGCATGGGCTTAACGATTGTTGTTTAGGTGCAGTTTCAGTTACTGTTGCCGTTGCCATTACAATCGCAGTTACAGTTACTGTTCCAGCTGCAGTTGCAGTCACAGTTGCTCAAACAGAAAAGCCGAGAAAAAAATGTATTAAATTGTAGAGAGAGTGGGTGAAAGGAAGGGAAAGTCGCGGGCTGGCGCTTTAATGCAAAATTTGCATTGCATACCTTTTGAAAGTGTGGCCTTTTAGAAGTTCCCGGCCATGGAGTTCTCTTTTTTTGTAATCCTTTTGCTCGGGTGAAGGTTAAAAACGGGCTATTTGCAATAGAAATTAAGGCGTAAGTGCTCGTTTCTCATCTTAGAGAGATATGTAAAACCAAATCTGCATTCTGCTTGAAAAGCAAATAAAGAACACTTAAATTGTAATGAATTCTTGAAATGAGCACTTCTTAATCTCTCAAATTTGTTCTAAACCGCATCCTATTCAAAGTGTAGTATTCCCAAAAGTGAAGGGAATGTCTGAACATACGAGCATATGTAACATACAATATATGCAACTACAACGTGCCGGCATATATTCACTTTAAAAACTGTATGCCTTACCTGTGTGCGCTTGTGCCTCTCCACGTTTTTGGTTTTACTGCCACCGAAAAATTATGCACATTATTATGTACAAACAAAGCAAAATGCACCAAGTCCGCTGGGCGCATACATTTTAATGCTCATGATTATTATTATCATACTAAAATGAGATGCTGCCATCCGAAAATGACAGCGCGCACATCTAGAATGTAGGAATACCTAAGGATATGTACTCGTATATACATAGTATAGCAACTGGAAACTGCATACTCAGTGTTTTCCATTTCCCCTTCATTTCCTTCTAGCTTCTGCCGGCAGTGAGTTAATCGCAAATCGCTCAGCGCTGTTAATGCCGTCGAATTTTACCGCTGCCACGCCCCCCGCCCCAAGATACACCCGCCCCTTTCGGGAGCAGGATGTGGCCGAGGGGGAGGAGGAGGCGGGCGGAGGACAGGCCGAAGATTGGTTGGAGGAGCAGCATCCGCTGACCATTTCCCGACCGCCGAGAGCGGGACGCAGCGAGCGGCAGGCTGAGGAGGATCAGGTGGACAGGTGCCGTCTCTTCGTCGAGGGGGATCCCACCAAGAACGAGCTGTACAGCCCCGAGTATCCCAACCTGTATCCGAAGAACATCAACTGCACCCGGGTGATAACAGGTGAGTACGAAGGGGTATGAGAGCAAGTTTGTTGTAACTTTAGCAGCTACCTGAGCTGGGTTATTCATTATTCACAGTTATCTGAAGTGAATATTTAGCAATGTCAATGCCTTTGAATCATTTATCTGATGGCAGGTTGTATTCATGGCAGGAACTGGGACTGAAAACCATTGCCGTGGATTATCTACGGCTAAGCAATTAACAATCGTTCTGTCAGAGAATCCGAGCAGTATCAGTGGCATTATCTGTATCTGTATCTGTACGCCACAGTTGGAAAGACAAATACGAACTTTGATGGAAGCCAATTGGCAGCCGGCTTCCATCTTAGCGAATGTGGGTGTGAGTGTGCACTCAGACAAAAAGATACGAGCTCCTTTATCTAAAAGGGCACTGTAGAACGTAGTAGCATGTATTAATTCAGTTTCTCCCATATTAGCAAAACTATGTATTTGAGAGACACAGTCCCATAAGAAGTAGGAATTATGAACAAATGTGCCTCTTTAAAATGCGAATTCCATCCAAGGCCAACACTCTTTTCTTCACGTGTGAGTGGAGTGGAGTGCAGGCCTCGTAAAAGTTTATATGGCAAGCACTTGGCGACGAGCGAGCTACTGCAAATAATTGCAAAGTCTTTGGCCAAGTCTTGGCAGCCGCTGCTGTTGACATTACCAGATGTCAGTCAGTGAGTCAGTCAGTCATTTGGCTTGGCTTGGGATGGGAAGGGATGCGGGGAGATGCGGGGAGGTGGGGCCATGATTGGGAAAAGTTGGTGGGGAGCGGTGAGTGGGAATTGGGCGAAGTGAACCAGTGAACCGGAGGCATTAGATGGCGCTGATGCGTAAGATGCTCCACACAGATTCCACATGGCAGTGCCGTTTTGTGTGGCCCATTTAAAAGCGTTAGCGCGTTGGCTCCCCGTATTCCATTCACATTTTCCCCAGTTGCCCAGTCACCAGTTGGCAGTCACCAGTTGCCATATCCCAGCTTCCCAGCTTGCCAGCTACCCAGCTACCCAGCTTCCATTTCCCCGGGCTCCATAATACGCTGCCTCGATTGGGGGATTGGAATGGAAAGGGCGGGCCCCGATGGGTTGTCATCATATTTGAGCTGCACTCGCTTCACTGCCTCCACCGCCGCAGAAACTGTGCCTCGGAAGCTGGTAACTCTCCTCGAATGCTTATCTAAAGTCGGTTGGAGGCCAAATCATTTGTCAGTTAAGACAAAATAATGTCACTGCAAAAGTCAAGAGCTGACAGATAAAACCTGAAAGCGAATGATTGACTTTCCATAAGCACGCATCAGCGGTCGCAGTATCTGTATCTGTATCTGTATCCGTATGTACGGGTACGTCAGCATGTGTAGCACATGTAGCCCTTAGTCCACACAACCAAACATGTGTGTGTGAGTCTGTGTGTGTGAGCTTGGAATTACGAGTTCGAGTACGAGTACAACGGCTTATTTGCATATCAATGTGAGTGCGTGTGGGTGTGCGTGCGTGTGTGCGTGTGTGCGTGTGTGCTTATGTTCGAGAAGCTCCAGAAAAGACTTCATGTTAATGTTGGACTAAGCGGGCCAACGAAAGTAGCCAGCTGAGGTTCTCTTTATGGCCAAGATGTGCGTCCCGCAGAGCAAACAAATGCCGCAAGCAGCGCAGTCGGGGAGATTACAGAAGTTCAAAGTTATTGCAAAAAACAACAGACTTCTATAGAGCTTATTTCCCATGCACTTTGCCTTATAACTAAAATGCAAGCCTTTTGACAGTGCAGCGAGCCACTGGGGCGTACACGCAATAAAGGATTAGAACTAAAATTCAGCGGGATTTAATCAGCGAAAGTGAATTAACTAGTCTAACTTTAATTTGTTGGAATAATGTTTGCGGCTTGGGGGATAAAGGATGGAAAGCAAGATCAATGAAAATAATAGAATCAGTAGACTTATTCCCTATAGCTTGCCGCTATTTTCCTGATTTTCACACGGCTGATACAACGTTGCCAACGTTGCGTATACGCAATGCGATTTTGCTAGATAAAACACAGTGTTGCCGAAAACCAATCACTATTGCGGTTTTTGTGCTCAGCAGTCTGGGCCAAAATGCCATTCAATGTGGTATTACGATGGGCCCATCTTTGGTGCAGCCAGATTGCACAGTAGGGCTTAGAAATGATGCCTTAGTAATTACCTTTCTTTTAAAATTGGATATGGGGAAGTTAAGCAGTGCAGTTTCACAATACTCGTTTGCCTGGGGACTTTGTAATTTGTTAACGCTACGCCCCCAGTCGCATACGAGTTTGGCCAGGACTCTTTTCTACTTTTTTCAAGGCCAATCAATTCTATTTCCTTTCAAGCTTTTTTCACCGCCCGTCTGTGATTCCAACTTTCATTACTTGTCCATTTCCATTATGTAATCTGTGTGTGTTTGCTGGTGTGGGTGTTAACAGCCGGGAAATTGCTGCTGTGTGTGTGTGTGTACGTGTGTGTGTTTGCGTGTGTTGTTATGCCACATTGGCCACAAAGGTTCTATTTGAGAAAAGCCGGGGGAAAATGTAGTTTCAAATGCCAGAGCCAGCCCATCGCCATTGATTCATGCCAAGGACTCGACGACTGAATATGTATGGCTCGCAATGCGAGTGTGAATGAATGAATGAGTGGGTGTGTGTGAGTCCAGCATCTTGATGCCTTACTCTTTTTATACGGCCACTAAATGAGTCCCCTGACGCTTTCATTTTGGCCATAGATACCAGATTGGGTCCTGCCTTTTCACTTTTCCCATGCCCCTGAAAGCTGTCCCTACTTTGCGTCAAAAGGGTCTAGTTATGGTCGGATCATTGAGATGCGGAAGTTCCCACAAATATTTTTATTGGACTGCCGAATGGTTAGGTAAGCAAATTACGGAACGGAATTTGGTGTTGCGATGTTATATGTCTTGAAGAAATAATCTGCTTACGCAGATTGAATTGATGGATCTGATGGAATCGAAAGCATTCAACAAGTTTAGCGTAACAATTTCAGTTGCTCAGCGAAAACAGGTTAAACAACAGGTTTCTCTAAAAAGCATGCTGCGGAATATACAAATTCTTTGTCGTCTTAATAATAAAGTAGCCAAATAATATCATGCAGTTTCACACGCCGCCTACACAAATGCACTAAAGAGCATTACAGCTTCGTTTACCCAAGGCAACGCGCCTAGCCATAAAATTCCCCCAAAGTCGTCCTAGGCACTGAGATGAGCTGTTGTTAATCAGTTTCTCGGCTCGGGGCCATTTGACTTGGAATAAGCTTGGGATCTTGGAGGGGATCTATCCACCTGGAAGTGGAAGTGGCAGCGAGGTGGGAGGTGGGCGTGGGGAGTGGGGTCAAGTGCCATGGCTACCTTGGAATGATAAAGTATACATTTGCGGACTAACGTGCTGGCTTTGTGCCTCCGCTCCGGCATCTAATTACAGCGCCAAAGGGACAAATCATACGCCTGGACTTCCGCAACTCGTTTAACATCGAGGCCAAGGAGGGGTGCAAATTTGATTTTCTCGAAGTAAGTACTGGTAGCTGGGAAATGCACAGAGACAACACAGCGCTTAAGATACATTTCAAATTAAGATTCCTCAATGAATTCAAAATCGTTTAACTATTTATTTATTATTGCTTTATCAAAAGTACTGAAACCTTGTCGGAATTAAAATAAAATAATTTTATTTTGGCACAGCAAATATTTTCGAACCGTGTAACAAAACCCGATATAACCAACTTAAAAAGGGTCAGCGCATAAAAAAGACAAACTTTGTTGCATGCTGAAGCCGGGGCATAAAAAAACGGAGGCAAAACAAAAACTTGCTTAGTTGCTCGGCTTTTCTCGGTCTTGGCCGGACTTGCAAAGTTTTCGATTTGTTTCCTTTACGACTTTTCCCTGTTACTTGGGCTGTGTTGCTGCTCTAGCTGCTCCAGCTGCTGTAGCTGCCCCGTTTTTGTGCACCGAAAAATGACAAGTTTTAATTGAATGTTGTCTCTGTGCTGCAAGTCCTAAGCCTGATTTGAAAGCGCTGCTCGGGCCAAGGCGGTTTAGGCCAAAAGACGAACTGCTAGTCGGCTTAGGGCGGCGAGAATGATGCCAAAATCTGTGTAACTAACGAGCTGTATCCTCGCAGATTCGGGATGGCCAGTACGGCTTCTCCACGGAGATTGGCAAGTATTGCGGCACCGACTTTCCGCCGGAGATCACCTCCAAGGAGCGGTATTTGTGGCTCCACTTCCACTCCGACGAGACCATCGAGTACACCGGATTCAGTGCGGTCTACGAGTACCTGGACAGGAGTCGGGATGCGCCCAGCACCGATCTCAACTGCACCATCGATAAGGGCGGCTTCGAGGGCTTCATCAACTCCACGGATGTGCCGGCCGAGATTTGGGAGCAGGTCAACCGCAACAAGATCGCGCTGGACTGCATCTGGCGCATCCAGGTCAAGGAGAATTGGAAGGTAAGCTCGATTGGCTAAATAAATATTTTTTGTGAATATAATTTCGAAATTAATGTAGAAAATGCATAGCACTTGTAATCCTTTAAGCCAAAGCGAATGATTTCCCTTCCATCCATTCCGTAGATATTTCTCAAGTTTCTGGACTTCAAGCTGAGCAAGCCGAACGATTGTCAAACCAACTTCCTGGACATATTCCCGGAACAGACGGTGATGCCACTGAGGTGAGCTCCTTTTGTAGTGCCGCTTAATCGCATTTCATTGAACTCCAGCGCGGCAGTGATAAAATTGCCATGGCAGGGCTGATAGAATGCAGTCGGTGGCGTATACGTAGTATCGGTGGCGTATACGCAATGCCGCAAACCAATTTCCGCACTGCCGAAATGGTGAGATCAAAGCCCTGGTCGGCGCCCAGGATGAAATTTCATTTTATTACCGGCCAAAAGTAAATGGTACGCGAACGGAAGTGGCGTCGCCTTTGACTCGCACAACCAATCTCCTCGTCCTTCTTCCTTTTGCACCGGTAGTAACGAGAACTACACCATCTCTCCTGACTGGCTGACTGACTCGCCGGCTGGATGACTCACTGACTGGGTGACTGGGTGACTGAGCGGCTGAGCGACTGAGTGACTGATTGACGGATTGAAGGACTCGCCACGGCATCTTTGACACGCACTGACATCCGCTTTTAACGCGCCAATACATTTCCACTTGTTGCCGCTGCTCGGGACAACACTCAAATTGATTGACTGGCGTTTTCAGCTGGGCTTGAAGAAAATGCCAAATTGAAGGCGGAAAATTCATCAGTGTGTGCTGCGTGTGGCCGGGGACAAAGTGTTCCCTGTCTTTTTAAGCCATTGATTTGCTGCCTTTGTCGCTTTCATTTAAATTCATTTTTCGTAGCAATTTATCGCACACGACGGGTGGCACGAGCTGATTTACCCCAAAATGCCAGCCGTAAAGAAAATACCCAAAGCCACACAGACCGGCCAAATGAACATAAATACCATATTCAGTGAACGTCATCATTTAAGCCATATTATAAATTATTTATTTATCGATTATGTGTGTGTGGTGCTATCGATGGCCAAACATTTAACGAATGGCAAATATATTGCCAGAGGAATCCTGATACTCGTGGACTTATTTTGTGCCACAAACGCTTTGGCAAAGTAACTGCATTTACTACAATAAATATATTATATCAATTACTCGATAATTAATTACTCAGGCCTCTGACCAATTATGATTTTACTAGCTATCTATTTCCTACTCATCTGTTGCATATTTGAAACAACACCGAACGCTCTCCTGTACGTATTCATTTCACTTTGAGATTGGTCAATTTTCTATTGACCCTTTTGCTATAGCAATTTAAGCTCGTTGAAGCTGCAAGTCACTCAAAAATTGCACTTTGCCAAATGATTTATTAACCCTGTTTGTGGCTGGTTTCAACTACTTGTATGTTACTGGAACCATGCCCGCGGTTCGCAAGCGATTTTCATTAATTTTCCACATATTTCCATTCCAGGGTCAAGAACTTTTGCGGTTCAGCTGGCGAGAGTATAACCGCGGAGTCAAACATCCTGCACTTGCGCTTCTACGCAGATCAATCCGCGATTAACTCAACATTCGGCATTCTGTTCACGGCGTTCCGGGAACGTGGAGCTGGTAAGTCCAATTCGCAACTCCGTATCTGAGTGGAAAGACGAATCCGATTCCAGGAGTTCAAACCAGTTCCAAGTAAAGGGCCCTTTGATGGCGCTGGCAAATCCCTTGAATTGGCAACAAATGGCCGGGGCGCAAAGTACAAAGGAATGGCCAAAAATCCTGGGGGCAATCCGGTGCTAAGCTTGCCCCAAATCCCGCCGAGCTACCATCCATACCCCCATCCGTTTCAGCTGCTCATTTGGCAGTTGGAGAATCAGACGGAGAGGGAAATTGGACGGAGTTGGAGATGGTGAAGGAGTCGCTTGTCTAACCCAACTATCTTCACCAGCCCACCATATCCTATCCTATCTGTCTATCTGTCTGTCTGTCTGTCTGCATTTCGGTGTGTCTGAATGTCTGAAGGAAAAAACAGGAGGCGGAGGTCCTGCGTGATTGCCGCCAGTTGCCAGAGGCAAAAGGCTAAGCACTCTTTTGTCATTCAACGATTGTCCTTTGTCCCCGGGCCAGCATTGTTTACTTTTAGGCAGCCAAAGTCCTCGTCCAGGACCTTCGACACCAGCTTTTTCTGCTCCGCAAAGCCACTCCTTCTCCAGATTCGGCTCCTGCTCCTTCAGCTCCTTTAGCTCCTTGTGCTCCTTGTGCTCCATCCACTTGGACCGCCAGCATCGGCAATTATTGTTGTTGGTTGAGCGATTTATGTCGGAGATTACGTGCATTTGCTTTGTGGCCTCGCCCATCGTCGCCTTACAATGGCTGCACTGTGGAAAGTCCATCAATTTAAAGCTCACAGTTGATCGGTGCTTTAAGTCAAATTGAATTGGCATTCCACTCAATGCCGAATCGGATTCGGTTCACCATGATCAGTCAATTCAATTGCGAATAACATAAAATTCAATGGGTGCTTAAAATGAATTCAAACAGTGGCGCTTTACTACCTTAAATGAATGCGATGTTTACACATTTGCGTAAAGTTATTACATTAAACAAAAGTAAAGCAATATCCCTTTTGCATTATGCATTTTTAATGTTCACTACTAGTCTGAATTCCAATAAATTTTATAACAACTTTAAAACAATTCTATTATCCTGCGAAGTAAATAAAACACTTCTTTTTATCTCTGCGACTTGACAATATTTTGAATGCAATGCCAGTCTCCCGAAAACTCCCATATTCACTCATCCTGCCCCGTGAATAAAACCCATATTGAATTGACTGTTGAGTGGCCTTCGAATGACAATATATTTATATGTTTTTATGCAGTCGTTTTACACTCAAATCCAGTGGAGAGCACTTTCAATTGTCGTCAATTGTCATCGCATTCCACAGTGCGATCTGTGCTTTGATTGGCGTTTTAGCCATTTCACCCATTTTAGCCGATTCTCTGTCCGCTCACTTTAACTGCCATTTTGTGCCAAATTTTTTACAACTTTCTCTAACTCCCAAACTGTCGCACCATCTCTTTTTGGCAGCTTGCACCGAGGACGAGTACGATTGCGAGGACGCGACCTGCATATCAAAGGATTTGAAATGTAATAACCTAGACAATTGTAAATTTCGATGGGACGAGGAGGGCTGTACGGTAAGTGACACGCCTATACAGAGGAACCCAGGCTGGCAATCAGTTGTGGCATGAAGACCTCTATAAAGTTTATCGATTGAACTGATTGCGTGCTGGTTTTAATTTCATATCACTATCAGTACGCATTTTGAATAAAACTGTTTAATTGGGAACATTTTCCCAACTATCTTAAAGATAGCTAACGAGCTTATTGTTAAATCATCTATCCTTGAAACATTAATATTTTTAATTGGTTTTACTTTTCATTTCACTTTTGACAACTTTGGCAAGTAAAAAGTGTATAATTGAAGTCGAGTTGCATGCAATTCATTTTTCTCAGTGCATCCGCACACAAAACTGGGCCGTTTGTACGTGCATCTAATTATAGGCCAGCTCGTTGACTCGTCGGACTCCAAGCCAGCATCCCAGCCCCTGACCTCGTGACCCCTGACCCCTGACCCCTAACCCCATGCCACTCCATTCGCCCCCCGCCCCCCACCTCCTCCGCCAGCCCGCTCATTATAAGTATGCTCGACACGCCGATGACGGCAACATCCAAAAACACTCACGTACACACACACGTGCACCGGCACAAGCACAAACAAACACCAAACACACACACACTCACACTCACACTCACACTCACACACACACACACACACACACAAAGTTGGTCAAATAAGTTTTGTTTGGCAAAGTTTGAGGTTTGTGTTACAGGAAGGCCTTGCCGTTGTTGTTGCTTTTTGTGGGGCTTGTTCGTTAGCCGTAAATAACAGTTATTTGCAGGACATCCCCCCAGGCAGCGGAGAAGTTGAACATCAGCGCATTAGATCATTAGATTTGATAAAGTCAGCGGGATCAAGTGGCCCGCTCCACCGACATCACAGGGAATGATTCATGCAGCGCCATCTAAGCCACTTTCCACTTGCCACTTGCCACTCGCCACTCGCCACTTGCTACTTTCTATTTACCACCAAATGAGGTTGTAAGTCCGTTGTAAAAATGGCCAGACATAAAAAAGCTGTGGGGGGAAATCCCTACTTGTGGCATTCTGGAATTACATACATGCATTACAAATTGTTTAGCCCTAATGGGATTTACAAATTGCAAAATATGTTTTGAATATATTGAAAATACGCATTTTTCTTATGAGGATAGCATGCATCAAAAAGTACATATATTTGAAATGAATTCGCTGATTAGTTACTAATTTCATTAAGCTAAAAATCGAATAATCGTGTGCAAATAGTTACAGCATATAACCCTTATTAAATGGTTTTCCAGGATACCGATAATAGCACTCCATTAAAACCGCCGCCCTTGAATACACTCTTGCATAAGCTATTTCAAATGGGTCTGGCCAAATGCGAACGCATATTTTATGAATTCATTTCATTTTCGCACCACATTGGCGCAATTAAAGCGAATTGAAATTTGGTTTTGCTAAAATCTTTCCATAATTACACGTTGTTTTATATATACCCGTGCATATGTGTATAATTTCGATTCTGGCCCATTGGAGGCCATTTACATTGGCCAGGAATCTAATTTGTAGTTTTTCGGTTCGGTACCCAATTGGCTGTTTTCCGTTTATGGTTTCTAATTTGCTCAAACGATATTAAACGAATGATTGTGCGTGTGGAGGCGGGCTTCAATCAAGTGCTCAATCAAGCGCATACACAAGTTATACTTATTTAATGTGCCATGTTTGCCGTTCTATGATGACAGAATGGCCATCTAAAGGCGGCTGAAGGATGGTATCCGAAAATCTCTATGAAAGTCCGTGAGAGAAATTGGGCTAGGCTGCTTTTTTAATGAAACTGATATTGCAACACTATATTTTCACATTAAGAGTTAACGATAAGCAACCGCATTGAGTATGAATTTCATTTAAAACAATCCCTAAGCCAGCCAATAGCCATTAGCTGGCCATTCCCAACGTACACGAACACCCAATTAAGTGGCGAAGTGAAAGCTGAACTCTGATTATTTTGATTTGGGCCTTGGCCAATGGCTTGCTGACTCGATAATGTAATTAAAATGGCAATTAAACCCAGCAACCCGATTCTTTTTGCAGAGCGAGGCGGCCGGCCAATCGGAGCACGTGGTCATCATTGTGATTGTGTTTGGCCTGATACTCGGCGGAATGGTCATTACGTTCATCGTCAATTGCATACGCAAGATAATACGTGATCAGAAGATAATACGCGTAAGTATTGCCAACTTTTACGCCCCTCCTCGATTCGTCTCCCCATGAAACTTTAGTCTGTGCTCGCGCGTGTCCCTCCATAAAATACTGCCACCACCTCCCCCAGAAACCACCAGAAACCACCAGAAACCGCCAGAAACCGTCAGAAAGCCACCCACCAACCCGCCTGCCGCTCTCTCTCTCTCTCTCTCACTTTCTCTCTCTCTCTCTCTCTCTCTATCTCTTTCTCCCCGCTCCCTCTCATATATATATCTTAATATCTGTCTACGTCTCGCTCGTTGTGTGCTTGAACCACCCACCACCACCACCACCACCACCACCACCGCCACCAGCAACACCACCACTCAAAAACCCCCTAGAATAGTCTCCTAAATGTGGCCACCGCAGGACAGCAAGAATTTATTTCCACACATATATCCACTCTTTTGGTTTGGTTCCATGGATACGTTGCCAAAATTATTCAACTGCATTTCAGATGCACGCTAACCGAACCCTCTCACACAGGAATTGCAACACAAAAACGAACAATATTGATCGAAATAATAGGGCGTAGTATCTGCATGTTTTTCAAAAAGCCAACGGATATATTTTTTATCAATGAATACATTTTATAATTTCAATGTGCTGCAGTCAACCGTGAATACGTAACAGTTCCTGGATGCAAATCGTGAAATTTTGACTGTTAGTAAGGAGTATTTTGCCAAAAGCATCTCTACCAACATCGAAAACAAAATTATAATAGGGCAAAATGTTATCTGCAGCTTTCGTTTTCAGCCCGAATGCTCATTAAAACCGAAGTTTCTGTGCAGTGGTACTGAGCCCTTCATTAATATGCTAAGCAAAAATTCTACAATATACAAAAATACAAAAATAAACCCTTCTACAAAAACATAACACCCAAGGTAGTAGTGAGCATTTTCGTGTTGATCACAGCTGTGACGAAAGCACATGTAGCCGTAAAAGTAATGTAAAATCAAATCTGTGTGTGACGTTGTTTTTTGTTTGGGGTCAGCGGAAAATATTTCAACAATCATTTGCACTCTTTTAAAGAACCCATTCAGCGAAGTGGGCTCGACTGCTAAATAATTCACCGGAACAGTGTAAAGTCGATGGGCTTACACTCGATTTAACATCCACTGGCCGACCGGGCGTATGTGTAATTATATATGAGGAGTGCCAGTGCCTGCGCATATGACAAACTCGTTTTGCATATGTAAACATAATTTGCATTGACTGCGCCGGCTGTTTGACAACTGAATCTGATTCGGCTTTGGCAGGGAAATGGAAATGGCAATGGGAATTGGCGGCGAGTAGAGGGTACAAGGATCTCGAATCGAAATCGCCCGCCACAACGACTACACGACTGGCAATTGGCACAACTGACAATTAGTCGATGGATTAAACTAAACCGCGTTTAGACTACATTTCGGCCATAATTAAAGGTGCATACTGCGAGGTCATCGAACTGAAGTGGTGCAGAACAGCGCTGAAATGTGCTCAAAATTAATTATATCTAAATAAATAATATTTACAACGTAGTTGTGTAATTGCAATTCATTGTTTCAAAATGTTCTAGTATTTCTATGATTACCGTACAAAAGAGCTCTTTTAAGAAAATATTTATTAACTGCCAATCGACACGGATGTTTAATGCACTCACTCAATTCCCTTCAATTTCCGAATGCCTCATTGGGCCATAGATCAGCGTAGTAACGCATGTCACTCAACGGCCGATTGCCATTAATTATTAATGATAATTGTTGCCGAGCAGCAGCTTGTTGGCCGCTTCAATCATATCCAACTGGGCACTCAAACGGTTCGATTTTGATTTTAATTAGCAAAGTCGTTGTGCGGCGAACTTAAATCGATGGCTATGCAAATGCCGCGAGTGCATTAAAGCCAACTTCGCCGGGGGAGATGGCCAACAGAAGGGGAAGTGGAACGACATTAGTAAAACAATAACACGCAGCGTGATAGGAATCTTGTCGCCTTGTCTGATGCGAAAATGTGCGCGGGTTGCGGGTGGGCGAGCACTTTTCTCACGCACTGTCTGCTGCCTGGAATTTAATAGACATGCAGCGCCCCTTTCTCCGGCTTCTCCGACAAAAGATGCGGATCCCGGCAATTCTAATGGCGTCTGACACTCTGAAATGTAAAATAGACTTTGACTCTGAGCCCGTGGTGGTGGCTGTGGAGCCAGCCGATGCGAAACCAATCGGATTCGATGTAACCCAAGACCTGGCGTACAGATCTCTAATCCCATCCGACACAAACTTGAGTTGACTAATCAATACAAATGAAATTTGTCAGTTGAATGAGCAAAATACAGTGTTACTGGAGCCTTTTCGCACATCTTATTTTCAGTCGCAAATTTTCTTGGCATTGGAAAAGGGCAACATGATGGAATTCTATTATTAATAATTGTAACGTAATATAATTCTTGCCTTCATAACTGCCTGCACATACGATTTCCAGTGCATACAATAACGTGCTATTTTTTAATAAATTTGCCTAGTCCAAGTAGGAAGTCATTACTTTTGCCTATGCAAACCCACTGGGTGCCTGCGAATTTTGTCTGAGTGTAAGGAAACAGGAAGAGCCGAAAATGCAAAATACACAAAACCGAGTGCCAGTCGAGGGTCTGTTTAATCAAGCGGCAGACCGCGTCTACAAATATGTGGCTACCGCACAAAAACACACCAACTGACACGCAAACACACTTAATTAACTAGCTGGCGGGGAATCGGAAACGCGGAGCACTTCTTTTTGGCCGTTCCACTTGCCAGCACTTAAGGACGACCGATGTCTCGATGGTATTCAATTTGGCCACAACTCCAGGCCACCAGAAGCCCCTTCAAATGGCATACGCTGCGCCTCAAACCGAAGGCGATGTCAAATTGAAGCTCTATTGCGGGCTTGACCCCCGGGGAAGATAGAAAATGGCAGCAGAAATGAAGCGAACTGAAATGAAATGAGATGAGATGAAATGAAATGAAATGACTTTTGCCAGGACAACCGGTGTTGGACCCTTGACGACCGAGGATGGCTGCTCTCCGATATTGATATCGACAGCACAGGAAACTTTATGCCACGCAAAAAGTCAATCGCAAACTCGGCCAGCCAATGAATAATTTAATTATGAGTTATAAAAATACCTCTGCTGCGATATTGTTTTCCGTAATATAATCAGGAATTATCCTTCAACTGGCTTAACTTCAGCGGTCGATTGAAGGCCCTCAACTTTAACTTTCATTGTTAATAGCCTTAATTACTAGAGCGCAAACTTTTCACAGGCCAGCAACATCCAAAAAAAAACAAACAAACTTGATTTTTGCAAATTTAATTTACGCGAGAAAGGTGTGGATTATTCAATTAATTCAATTACCGCCGCCTTTCACCACGTCCATGACAATTAAATGACACTTTTTTAAACGTTTATTATTGATTGTACTCCATTGTATTGCTCTGTAATTTATGAAATTCAATGGCAGTAAAGCTTTACGAGGGGAATTCATTCAGGAGTATAAAATTTAAACAAAACTACAGACAGACTTAAATGTTTATTAATGCATCAAATCGTAAAAAGTCAATAGCTGTGTATAAAGTTTGTCCCACAGCAGCTAGGCAATTTATTTCCGAATTGCATACAGGGCGTATGAGCAATATTTCCACGCAGCTTAGGGCGAAAACGAGCTCTTTAGGCTCAGTAATCGATGGGATTCCCTGGTTTTTGGACCTTAGCTGGATTTCGGATGGCGGGCAACAATGCAGTCATGTCCCTGCTAAATTGTAAAACATCGTCGTGCGCTCATTTTGCACAATGAGCCAGTGTGAGCCGGATGCCAGATGATCCTTTGCATATGGAACCACGAAACGGGGAAACAATGGGCCCAGGACACGGGATCCACCTCATACTAGGTACCCAATTTGCAGGGCATTCTTGGTGGTTGCGAGCAGCAAAGCCGCCATAAAACTGGTCCAGCCCAAATTGACTCTACTATTCTGAAGGTTTAGGCGGTGACTGGGGAAATTTCGAACAAATATACCAATTGCATCATGATATATTTCATAATTCAACATTATTATATGGTATTGTATGGTAACTTTTCTTCACTGGCAATTTTTTTCGATTTCCATTACTTCTGCCGGATATTTTGTGCGATCAGCCCACAGTGGGCAAAACCTGGGCCTGGGCAGATGCAATCTGATTATCAATCTGATTATCGCCTCGAGTGTTGGATGATGGCTGACGGCGGGCGGCAGAAACCCGCAAACCGCCGCTACCATCACCCTCCTTCAAAGGATTCACAATTTTCGGCGCGTTGGAAATTATGCCATCCATAAAGGGCCATGGCGAACGGGCGAGTGAATGAATGGCAAATGGGTTGGGCTCTTAGTTTTTTGCTTTCGGACTTAGCCCGGACTCCAGAACCCGGACACACCAGACCACTTGCACCCTGGACACAGAAATTTGCACAAAGCGCACATCAAATCGAATCGAACCGAATCAATTCAGCGTCAGCAGATTTGATAAAATCATTCGGTGTGGCAAAGATGGCGATGGCGATGGCGATGGCGATGGCGATGGCGAGATGGCCAGCACTTTAATATCCCATTCTGGCCACCAAATGGCGTCCATATACTCGTAGAGGGTATCCGCAAGGAAACCGATGGCAACATTCGCACATATAATAAAACTTATTTCCATATTCCAGCTAAATCCTTTGGCCATGGCCTCCTCCTCCTCTCCACTCCTCCTTTCTCCTTTCCACTGCACTCCTTTCCATTCTTTTTTGTTCGCAAAATTTTCTGTTGCCACTTAGATTTTAGCATGTAGATAAGCAGAAAAAGTATTTCCGCTCACTCGTGCACACTCGAAATCAGCGAAGAGGATGCAATTTCTTTTGCCCGCTCCCAACTCCTTTGGCCTTTATTTTTATCCTTTTCTCGGGAGGATCCCCAGCAGGCGAGGGTCGCTCCTGCGGTAAAAACGAGGGTGA